TTCAGTCTCCCATGCAGAGCTCGGAGCGCATGTGTGGCTCTGCACCCTTAGCAGCGTTGCTAACTCCTCAGTAAGGAAAGCCTGCTTCATGTCAGAGTCTCTAAACTCCAGAAGAAGTCGATAAAAGTCCCTTTCTTTCTAAAAAAGTCGTTAGGGGGTCTGAAAAGTAATTGAATCTAACAACAAAGTCGCTAGGTTTGCAACTACGTGTCCCAGACTGCATCCCTGCTGAGAGTCCCTCCCTCCCTTCTCATGTTGCAGGAAGAACGTAAGCGCCCGCCCCTTGTCATTCAGTCACCATATAATTTTGGATTGGTTGTTGTGGTGAAGTTTTCCACCAATAGGAGAGATGTTGTGGTGTGTTTTTTTTTTCTTTTGGCAAGCCTTTTCCGCCTGTAAGACCTGTCGCTAATGTCTGCATGCTATGTTTTCCTGTCTCATACAGCGCGATCGAGCGCCGAACGTGATCAAAATAAGCAGAAAAAAAGTATCGCGGACATAATTTATCATAACTCTGGTTTTATTTGGCCTATCAACACAATTTAAAAACTGGTATATAGGTTGAGGTCCTCACTTTTGAGATAAGTTGAAACGGAGAGTTAACGAGGCTCCGTCTTGCAGCTACATCCGGTTAAATATGTCATGTGACTTGAACGCTGGGGAGCGTCAATCGAATCGAATCAAACCTAACTCTCAGATGAATCTTCAAAATTCACCTCAGAAATATGCTTATTATTCTTCTCAGAGTACTGCAGGATACACACACACACACACACAGACACACACACACACACACGCACACACACACACACACACACACACACACACACTCAGAGTCTGTTTTTTAGCACCTGCAAAAACATGCTATTTACATATTTGACAAGAATGCAGAGGCTTCCTTTTGCCCCTGAAAAAAATCAAATTTCAAACACAACTTGACTGCTCATTTCTCCAAAAGACAACCATGAAGCTCCATCCAAACCTGAAGCAGGCAGTTGGTGCATGTGTACAGTAACCTGAGGGGAGTGAGGTGACTGCTTCTGAGGAGAACATGAGCAGTGAAGATTCACCTTGGAGCTAGAACAGGGACGTGCACATGATAATACAGGGGCAGGGGCTCAAGTTTTTTCCAGTCGTTTATACAATATGGAAATTAATGTGAAATTAAAAAACAAAGTATGACTGTCCTGTGTAGGTGACAGTGATATCCAATAGGCTAGGCACTCACGAGGCTGGCTGTGGCAAGTGTAAGTGAAAGCAACACGCACTGGCAGGGAGAACAGCAAACGCCGATGAAGGAAAAGGGTCTTTGCTGTGATGGGCGTTACCAGAGAGGGCGATGGCCAGAGGACACGAATGGGACGGGGAGGCAGCGCGTTGGGGGGGGGGGGGGGGTGCGACACGGCTCGGGCCCGCCAGTGCCCCAACGGTGCCCTAGTTAGGGCCCGAGCGTAGCTGCTAAGCAGCTGCGAGAGCCCTATTATTCCTGATGGATTCTTCTTTCTTCTTCTTCTTCTTATTATTTTTCTGCCCCTTTGAACTGGAAAATGGCCCACTTCCCACTGGTGAAAAGTCATGAAATTTGGCAGGACGACCGGGCCTGGTGAAAAATTCGATATTCTGAAGTCGCCCAAAAAATCAAATGCAAAATGGCTCCATAGCGCCCCCTAAGGTGAAAAATTCACATGATTGAGTGTCACGCCTGTACGCTTTGTCAAAATGACACAAAATTTGACACACACGTGTATCTCAATAAGATCTACAAAAAAGTCAGTGCGGGCGTATCTGTCAAATGTACGGTTAAAGGGCTATTTCGCATTTTTTGCCGATCCGCACACATTGGAATTTCGCTAACTCCTCCGAAGGCTTTCGTTCCACCGGCACCAAATTTGCTCAGGCCAATCTACACCCCATGGCCATTAAAAGTTGTACAAATCATGACGCTGCACCCCACGGTTTACGTTCTAGGGGGCGCCAAAGATAACCCAGAAATCCACATTCTTAAAAGTCGTATAACTTTTTATTTTTGTCCTCACTGGCCTCCAAGTTTTCTAGGATGATGCAATGTCCAGCCATCAACACATTTGTGAAGGAATTTTTACTCCCCAAAAGAGCGCCCCCCATGGCAGGAGAAAAAAGTCCATTTTTTCTTGTCTCCTAAGGCGAAAATTCACACTATTGACTGTCACGCCTTTACGCTTTGTCATATTGACACAAAAATTGACACACACATGTATCTCAATAAGATCTACAAAAAAGTCAGTGCGGGCGTATCTGTCAAATGTACGGTGAAAGGGCTATTTCGCATTTTTTGCCGATCCGCACACATTGGAATTTCGCTAACTCCTCCGAAGGCTTTCGTTCCAAAGGCACCACATTTGCTGAGGCCAATCTACACCCCATGGCCATTAAAAGTTGTACAAATCATGACGCTGCACCCCACGGTTTACGTTCTAGGGGGCGCCAAAGATAACCCAAAAATCCACATTCTTAAAAGTCTTATAACTTTTTATTTTTGTCCTCACTGGCCTCCAAGTTCTCTAGGATGATGCAATGTCCAGCCATCAACACATTTGTGAAGGAATTTTTACTCGCCAAAAGAGCGCCCCCCCATGGCAGGAGAAAAAAGTCCATTTTTTCTTGTCTCCTAAGGCGAAAATACACATTGTTGACTGTCACGCCTTTACGCTTTGTCAAAATGACACAAAATTTGACACACACATGTATCTCAATAAGATCTACAAAAAAGTCAGTGCGGGCGTATCTGTCAAATGTACGGTTAAAGGGTTATTTCGCATTTTTTGCCGATCCGCACACATTGGAATTTCGCTAACTCCTCCTAAATCTTTTGTCCCATCGGCTTCAAATTTGCTCAGGTCAATCTACACCCCATGGCCATTCAAAGTTGTACAAATCATGACGCTGCACCCCACAGTTTACGTTCTAGGGGGCGCCAAAGAGGACCCAAATATCCACATTTTTAAAAGTCTTATAACTTTTTATTTTTTTCCTCACTGGCCTCCAAGTTTTCTAGGATGATGCAATGTCCAGCCATCAACACATTTGTGAAGGAATTTTTTCTCCCCAAAAGAGCGCCCCCCATGGCAGGAGAAAAAGTCAAGTTTTTCCTGCCCATCGCTCAATGGCTCAAACGCATCGCTCTCTCTGCAAAACCGAAAGGAGGAGCAACTTGCCATTTGGATATATACTAGCTGTGTTTGTGCCCTCACTCATGGTCCAGACTTTTTTCAAATAGGACATGTAGTTTGTCTGCAGCGAGCGTTTTGGTAGAAACTGCGCCTCCCATTCATTATAATGGGAAATGACCACAGACAAGTGCGCACACCATCTTTGGACCTTGAGTGTGACGTGATCGGGAGGGGGAGGCGGTCGCGCTGGGGGCGGCGCGACGCGGCTCGGGCCCGACAGTGCCCCACCGGGGCCCTAGTTATTTTTCCTCCGCTTTAAACTGGAAAATGGCCCACTTCCCACTGGCGAAAACTCAGGAAATTTGGCAGGACGACCGGGCCTGGTGAAAAATTCGATATTCTGAAGTCGCCCAAACAATCAAATGCAAAATGGCTCCATAGCGCCCCCTAAGGTGAAAATTCACATGACGGCTGTACGCTTTGTCATATTGACACAAAAATTGACACACACATGTATCTCAATAAGATCTACAAAAAAGTCAGTGCGGGCGTATCTGTCAAATGTACGGTTAATGGGTTATTTTGCATTTTTTGCAGATCTGCACACATTGGAATTTCGCTAACTCCTCCGAAGGCTTTCGTTCGACCGGCACCACATTTGCGCAGGCCAATCTACCCCCCATGGCCATTAAAAGTTGTACAAATCATGACGCTGCACCCCACGGTTTACGTTCTAGGGGGCGCCAAAGATAACCCAAAATCCACATTCTTAAAAGTCTTATAACTTTTTATTTTTGTCCTCACTGCCCTCCAAGTTTTCTAGGATGATGCAATGTCCAGCCATCAACACATTTGTGAAGGAATTTTTACTCCCCAAAAGAGCGCCCCCCCATGGCAGGAGAAAAAAGTCAATTTTTTCTTGTCCCCTTACATGAAAATACACATTGTTGAGTGTCACGCCTGAACGCTTTGTCATATTGACACAAAAATTGACAATCATGTGTATCTCAATTAGATCTACGAAAAAGTCAAAAAGCGCGTATCTGTATAATGTACGGTTAAAGGGCTATTTCGCATTTTTTGCCGATTCGCACACATTGGAATGTGGCTATCTCCTCCTAAGGCTTTCGTCCCACCGATACCAAATTTGCTCAGGGCAATCTACACCCCATGCCCATTCAAAGTTGTAAAAATCATGACGCTGCACCCCACGGTTTACGTTCTAGGGGGCGCCAAAGATGACACAAAAATCCACATTCTTAAAAGTCATTTTGGCCACTGCAGGAGTACAGAGTACTGCAGTTCTAGGGGGCGCCAAAGATGACCCAAAAATCCACATTCTTAAAAGTCTTTTTGGCCACTGCAGGAGTACAGAGTACTGCAGGATACACACACACACACACACACACACACACACACACACACACACACACACACACACACACACACACTCAGAGTCTGTTTTTTAGCACCTGCAAAAACATGCTGTTTACATATTTGACAAGAATGCAGAGGCTTCCTTTTGCCCCTGAAAAAAATCAGATTTCAAACACAACTTGACTGTTCATTTCTCCAAAAGACAACCATGAAGCTCCATCCAAACCTGAAGCAGATAGTTGGTGCATGTGTACAGTAACCTGAGGGGAGTGAGGTGACTATTTCTGAGGAGAACATGAGCAGTGAAGATTCACCTTGGAGCTAGAACAGGGACGTGCACATGATTATACAGGGGCAGGGGCTCAAGTTTTTTCCAGTCATTTATACAATATGGAAATTAATGTGAAATTAAACCACAAATATGTGTGATGAACTGTTTTTAAAACTTAAACTTCAAATAAAAATTGTAAACTTCAAAACATATGCAAATTTTTAACAAAGAACATAGTAATTTACCTCTATTTACATCAAAATGCAGGCAATGGCCCAGGCGTTCTTTGTAAAATTATTTACAAAACACTGTATAGTCTCACAAATGTCACTTTTTATTTATGCCACTACAAAAAAACATGATGTAAATGATGCATGATGTAAAACATGATGTAAAAAACTTGTGTAGATCCTCCTCTATGTTAGTCCATGTGTAATTTTTCCATAATTCATTGTTTTTTGCAGCATTTTTGTTAGTGTAACTGCAGATTGTGCTGACAGTGTCTATGGCAAAAAAAAAAAAAAAAACTGAAAATGCCTCAACATGAACCCCTGGTGGTCTCTGAGGGTGAAACCTGCTAACTGCTGCAGCTCTGTCAGCTTCAGTCTCCCATGCAGAGCTCGGAGCGCATGTGTGGCTCTGCACCCTTAGCAGCGTTGCTAACTCCTCAGTAAGGAAAGCCTGCTTCATGTCAGAGTCTCTAAACTCCAGAACTCCAGAAGAAGTCGATAAAAGTCCCTTTCTTTCAAAAAAAAAGTCATTAGGGGGTCTGAAAAGTCATTGAATCTAACAACAAAGTCGCTAGGTTTGCAACTACGTGTCCCAGACTGCATCCCTGCTGAGAGTCCCTCCCTCCCTTCTCAAGTTGCAGGAAGAACACGAGCGCCCGTCCCGTGTCAATCAGTCACCATATAATTTTGGATTGGTTGTTGTGGTGAAGTTTTCCACCAATAGGAGAGATGTTGTGGTGTGTTTTTTTCTTTTCTTTTGGCAAGTCTTTTCCGCCTGTAAGAGCTGTCGCTAATGTCTGCATGCTATGTTTTCCTGTCTCATACAGCGCGATCGAGCGCCGAACGTGATCAAAATAAGCAGAAAAAAAGTATCGCGGACATAATTTATCATAACTCTGGTTTTATTTGGCCTATCAACACAATTTAAAAACTGGTATATAGTTTGAGGTCCTCACTTTTAAGATAGGAGAATCAACGAGGCTCCGTCTTGCAGCTACATCCGGTTAAATATGTCATGTGACTTGAACGCTGGGGAACGGCAATCGACTGCAGAGCCAGCAGACAAAGTAGTTATGGCCACTGAGAGGCACACATTTGTCATATGCTATAATCCTAACATATTTAAATGCTTTTTCTATTTAAACCTAATGGATCTAAGCTTTTACCTTCAAAATTTAGGAAGAATATGTTTTTGCAGTAACGACCCCCTTAAACAACCAGAGGTCCTTTCCTAAAGTTTATGGAAATTTTAGTGAAGGCCTTGGTTTCTTTCCTTGCAAAATGTATAGAAATAATAAAGCTAAATACCATAAAATGGTCTTGGCGTATTAGCAGTGATATAAAATAGTGGTTTGAATATGAATAAACAACAAAAAAAGATCAACAGAGCCTTTTTGAGTTGGGATTCTTTCATTATCACACAAAAACAGACATAGACAGACATCTAAAGGGTAAGGGAATGATCAGCCCTCCTAACTCTCAGATGAATCTTCAAAATTCACCTCAGAAATATGCTTATTATTCTTCTCAGAGTACTGCAGGACACACACACACACACACACACACACACACACACACACACACACACACACACACACACACACACACACACACACACACTCAGAGTCTTTTTTTAGCACCTGCAAAAACATGTTATTAACATATTTGACAAGAATGCAGAGGCTCCTTTTGCCCCTGAAAAAAATCAGATTTCAAACACAACTTGACTGGTCATTTCTCCAAAAGACAACCATGAAGCTCCATCCAAACCTGAAGCAGGCAGTTGGTGCATGTGTACAGTAACCTGAGGGGAGTGAGGTGACTGCTTCTGAGGAGAACATGAGCAGTGAAGATTCACCTTGGAGCTACAACAGGGACGTGCACATGATAATACAGGGGCAGGGGCTCAAGTTTTTTCCAGTCATTTATACAATATGGAAATTAATGTGGAATTAAAAACAAAGTATTAATAGAAAGGTAATGACTGTCCTGTGTAGGTGACAGTGATATCCAATAGGCTAGGCACTCACGAGGCTGGCTGTTGCAAGTGTTAGTGAAAGCAACACGCACTGGCAGGAAGAACAGCAAACACCGATGAAGGAAAAGGGTCTTTGCAGTGATGGGCGTTACCAGAGAGGGCGATGGCCAGAGGACCCGAATGGGACGGGGAGGCAGCGCGTTGGGGGGGGGGGGGGGGGGGGGCGCGACACAGCTCGGGCCCGCCAGTGCCCCAACGGGGCCCTAGTTAGGGCCCGAGCGTAGCTGCTAAGCAGCTGCGAGAGCCCTCTTGTTCCTGATGGATTCTTCTTTCGTTATTTTTCCTCCGCTTTAAACTGGAAAATGGCCCACTTCCCACTGGCGAAAACTCAGGAAATTTGGCAGGACGACCGGGCCTGGTGAAAAATTTGATATTCTGAAGTCGTCCAAACAAAAAAATGAAAAATGGCTCCATAGCGCCCCCTATGGTGAAAACTCACCTGATGCCTGTACGCTTTGTCAAAATGACACAAAATTTGACACACATGTGTATCTCAATAAGATCTACGAAAAAGTCAGTGCGGGCGTATCTGCCAAATGTACGGTTAAAGGGCTATTTCGCTTTTTTTGCCGATCCGCACACATTGGAATTTCGCTAACTCCTCCGAAGGCTTTCGTTCCACCGGCACCAAATTTGCTCAGGCCAATCTACACCCCATGGCCATTAAAAGTTGTACAAATCATGATGCTGCACCCCACGGTTTACTTTCTAGGGGGCGCCAAAGATAACACAAAAATCCACATTCTTAAAAGTCTTATAACTTTTTATTTTTGTCCTCACTGGCCTCCAAGTTTTCTAGGATGATGCAATGTCCAGCCATCAACACATTTGTGAAGGAATTTTTACTCCCCCAAAGAGCGCCCCCCCATGGCAGGAGAAAAAAGTCCATTTTTTCTTGTCTCCTAAGGTAAAAATACACATTGTTGAGTGTCACGCCTATACACTTTGTCATATTGACACACAATTTGACAATCACGTGTATCTCAATAAGATCTACAAAAAAGTCAATAGGCACGTATCTGTCAAATGTATGGTTAAAGGGCTATTTCGCAGTTTTTGCAGATTCGCACACATTGGAATGTGGCTATCTCCTCCTAAGGCTTTCGTCCCACCGATACCAAATTTGCTCAGGGCAATCTACACCCCATGGCCATTCAAAGTTGTAAAAATCATGACGCTGCACCCCACGGTTTACGTTCTAGGGGGCGCCAAAGATGACCCAAAAATCCACATTCTTAAAAGTCATTTTGGCCACTGCAGGAGTACAGAGTACTGCAGTTCTAGGGGGCGCCAAAGATGACCCAAAAATCCACATTCTTAAAAGTCTTTTTGGCCACTGCAGGAGTACAGAGTACTGCCGGACACACACACATATACACACACGCCAACACACACACACACACACACACACACACTCAGAGTCTGTTTTTTAGCACCTGCAAAAACATGCTATTTACATATTTGACAAGAATGCAGAGGCTTCCTTTTGCCCCTGAAAAAAATCAAATTTCAAACACAACTTGACTGTTCATTTCTCCAAAAGACAACCATGAAGCTCCATCTAAACCTGAAGCAGATAGTTGGTGCATGTGTACAGTAACCTGAGGAGAGTGAGGTGACTACTTCTGAGGAGAACATGAGCAGTGAAGATTCACCTTGGAGCTAGAACAGGGACATGCACATGATTATACAGGGGCAGGGGCTCAAGTTTTTTCCAGTCATTTATACAATATGGAAATTAATGTGAAATTAAACCACAAATATGTGTGATGAACTGTTTTTAAAACTTAAACTTCAAATAAAAATTGTAAACTTCAAAACATATGCAAATTTTTAACAAAGAACATAGTAATTTACCTCTATTTACATCAAAATGCAGGCAATGGCCCAGGCGTTCTTTGTAAAATTATTTACAAAACACTGTATAGTCTCACAAATGTCACTTTTTATTTATGCCACTACAAAAAAACATGATGTAAATGATGCATGATGTAAAACATGATGTAAAAAACTTGTGTAGATCCTCCTCTATGTTAGTCCATGTGTAATTTTTCCATAATTCTTTGTTTTTTGCAGCATTTTTGTTAGTGTAACTGCAGATTGTGCTGACAGTGTCTATGGCAAAAAAAAAAAAAAAAACTGAAAATGCCTCAACATGAACCCCTGGTGGTCTCTGAGGGTGAAACCTGCTAACTGCTGCAGCTCTGTCAGCTTCAGTCTCCCATGCAGAGCTCGGAGCGCATGTGTGGCTCTGCACCCTTAGCAGCGTTGCTAACTCCTCAGTAAGGAAAGCCTGCTTCATGTCAGAGTCTCTAAACTCCAGGAGAAGTCGATAAAAGTCACTTTCTTTCTAAAAAAAAAGTCGTTAGGGGGTCTGAAAAGTCATTGAATCTAACAACAAAGTCGCTAGGTTTGCAACTACGTGTCCCAGACTGCATCCCTGCTGAGAGTCCCTCCCTCCCTTCTCATATTGCAGGAAGAACATAAGCGCCCGCCCCTTGTCAATCAGTCACCATATAATTTTGGATTGGTTGTTGTGGTGAAGTTTTCCACCAATAGGAGAGATGTTGTGGTGTGTTTTTTTTTCCTTTGGCAAGCCTTTTCCGCCTGTAAGACCTGTCGCTAATGTCTGCATGCTATGTTTTCCTGTCTCATACAGCGCGATCGAGCGCCGAACATGATCAAAATAAGCAGAAAACAAGTATCGCGGACATAATTTATCATAACTCTGGTTTTATTTGGCCTATCAACACAATTTAAAAACTGGTATATAGGTTGAGGTCCTCACTTTTGAGATAAGTTGAAACGGAGTCAACGAGGCTCCGTCTTGCAGCTACATCCGGTTAAATATGTCATGTGACTTGAACGCACACACAGACACACACACACGCACACACACACACACACACACACACACACACTCAGAGTCTGGTTTTTAGCACCTGCAAAAACATGCTATTTACATATTTGACAAGAATGCAGAGGCTCCTTTTGCCCCTGAAAAAAATCAAATTTCAAACACAACTTGACTGGTCATTTCTCCAAAAGACAACCATGAAGCTCCATCCAAACCTGAAGCAGGCAGTTGGTGCATGTGTACAGTAACCTGAGGGGAGTGAGGTGACTGCTTCTGAGGAGAACATGAGCAGTGAAGATTCACCTTAGAGCTAGAACAGAGACGTGCACATGATTATACAGGGGCAGGGGCTCAAGTTTTTTCCAGTTGTTTATACAATATGGAAATTAATGTGAAATTAAAAAACAAAGTATTAATAGAAAGGTAATGGCTGTCCTGAGTAGGTGACAGTGATATCCAATAGGCTAGGCACTCAAGAGGCTGGCTGTGGCAAGTGTAAGTGAAAGCAACACGCACTGGCAGGAAGAACAGCAAACGTCGATGAAGGAAAAGGGTCTTTGCAGTGATGGGCGTTACCAGAGAGGACGATGGCCAGAGGACACAAATGGGACGGGGAGGCAGCGCGTTGGGGGGGGGACGCGACACAGCTCGGGCCCGCCAGTGCCCCAACGGGGTCCTAGTTAGGGCCCGAGCGTAGCTGCTAAGCAGCTGCGAGAGCCCTCTTGTTCCTGATGGATTCTTCTTTCGTTATTTTTCCTCCGCTTTAAACTGGAAAATGGCCCACTTCCCACTGGCGAAAACTCAGGAAATTTGGCAGGACGACCGGGCCTGGTGAAAAATTTGATATTCTGAAGTCGTCCAAACAAAAAAATGAAAAATGGCTCCATAGCGCCCCCTATGGTGAAAACTCACCTGATGCCTGTACGCTTTGTCAAAATGACACAAAATTTGACACACATGTGTATCTCAATAAGATCTACGAAAAAGTCAGTGCGGGCGTATCTGCCAAATGTACGGTTAAAGGGCTATTTCGCTTTTTTTGCCGATCCGCACACATTGGAATTTCGCTAACTCCTCCGAAGGCTTTCGTTCCACCGGCACCAAATTTGCTCAGGCCAATCTACACCCCATGGCCATTAAAAGTTGTACAAATCATGATGCTGCACCCCACGGTTTACTTTCTAGGGGGCGCCAAAGATAACACAAAAATCCACATTCTTAAAAGTCTTATAACTTTTTATTTTTGTCCTCACTGGCCTCCAAGTTTTCTAGGATGATGCAATGTCCAGCCATCAACACATTTGTGAAGGAATTTTTACTCCCCAAAAGAGCGCCCCCCCATGGCAGGAGAAAAAGTCAAGTTTTTCCTGCCCATCGCTCAATGGCTCAAACGCATCGCTCTCTCTGCAAAACCGAAAGGAGGAGCAACTTGCCATTTGGATATATACTAGCTGTGTTTGTGCCCTCACTCATGGTCCAGACTTTTTTCAAATAGGACATGTAGTTTGTCTGCAGCGAGCGTTTTGGTAGAAACTGCGCCTCCCATTCATTATAATGGGAAATGACCACAGACAAGTGCGCACACCATCTTTGGACCTTGAGTGTGACGTGATCGGGAGGGGGAGGCGGTCGCGCTGGGGGCGGCGCGACGCGGCTCGGGCCCGACAGTGCCCCACCGGGGCCCTAGTTATTTTTCCTCCGCTTTAAACTGGAAAATGGCCCACTTCCCACTGGCGAAAACTCAGGAAATTTGGCAGGACGACCGGGCCTGGTGAAAAATTCGATATTCTGAAGTCGCCCAAACAATCAAATGCAAAATGGCTCCATAGCGCCCCCTAAGGTGAAAATTCACATGACGGCTGTACGCTTTGTCATATTGACACAAAAATTGACACACACATGTATCTCAATAAGATCTACAAAAAAGTCAGTGCGGGCGTATCTGTCAAATGTACGGTTAATGGGTTATTTTGCATTTTTTGCAGATCTGCACACATTGGAATTTCGCTAACTCCTCCGAAGGCTTTCGTTCGACCGGCACCACATTTGCGCAGGCCAATCTACCCCCCATGGCCATTAAAAGTTGTACAAATCATGACGCTGCACCCCACGGTTTACGTTCTAGGGGGCGCCAAAGATAACCCAAAATCCACATTCTTAAAAGTCTTATAACTTTTTATTTTTGTCCTCACTGCCCTCCAAGTTTTCTAGGATGATGCAATGTCCAGCCATCAACACATTTGTGAAGGAATTTTTACTCCCCAAAAGAGCGCCCCCCCATGGCAGGAGAAAAAAGTCAATTTTTTCTTGTCCCCTTACATGAAAATACACATTGTTGAGTGTCACGCCTGAACGCTTTGTCATATTGACACAAAAATTGACAATCATGTGTATCTCAATTAGATCTACGAAAAAGTCAAAAAGCGCGTATCTGTATAATGTACGGTTAAAGGGCTATTTCGCATTTTTTGCCGATTCGCACACATTGGAATGTGGCTATCTCCTCCTAAGGCTTTCGTCCCACCGATACCAAATTTGCTCAGGGCAATCTACACCCCATGCCCATTCAAAGTTGTAAAAATCATGACGCTGCACCCCACGGTTTACGTTCTAGGGGGCGCCAAAGATGACACAAAAATCCACATTCTTAAAAGTCATTTTGGCCACTGCAGGAGTACAGAGTACTGCAGTTCTAGGGGGCGCCAAAGATGACCCAAAAATCCACATTCTTAAAAGTCTTTTTGGCCACTGCAGGAGTACAGAGTACTGCAGGATACACACACACACACACACACACACACACACACACACACACACACACACACACACACACACACACACACTCAGAGTCTGTTTTTTAGCACCTGCAAAAACATGCTGTTTACATATTTGACAAGAATGCAGAGGCTTCCTTTTGCCCCTGAAAAAAATCAGATTTCAAACACAACTTGACTGTTCATTTCTCCAAAAGACAACCATGAAGCTCCATCCAAACCTGAAGCAGATAGTTGGTGCATGTGTACAGTAACCTGAGGGGAGTGAGGTGACTATTTCTGAGGAGAACATGAGCAGTGAAGATTCACCTTGGAGCTAGAACAGGGACGTGCACATGATTATACAGGGGCAGGGGCTCAAGTTTTTTCCAGTCATTTATACAATATGGAAATTAATGTGAAATTAAACCACAAATATGTGTGATGAACTGTTTTTAAAACTTAAACTTCAAATAAAAATTGTAAACTTCAAAACATATGCAAATTTTTAACAAAGAACATAGTAATTTACCTCTATTTACATCAAAATGCAGGCAATGGCCCAGGCGTTCTTTGTAAAATTATTTACAAAACACTGTATAGTCTCACAAATGTCACTTTTTATTTATGCCACTACAAAAAAACATGATGTAAATGATGCATGATGTAAAACATGATGTAAAAAACTTGTGTAGATCCTCCTCTATGTTAGTCCATGTGTAATTTTTCCATAATTCATTGTTTTTTGCAGCATTTTTGTTAGTGTAACTGCAGATTGTGCTGACAGTGTCTATGGCAAAAAAAAAAAAAAAACTGAAAATGCCTCAACATGAACCCCTGGTGGTCTCTGAGGGTGAAACCTGCTAACTGCTGCAGCTCTGTCAGCTTCAGTCTCCCATGCAGAGCTCGGAGCGCATGTGTGGCTCTGCACCCTTAGCAGCGTTGCTAACTCCTCAGTAAGGAAAGCCTGCTTCATGTCAGAGTCTCTAAACTCCAGAACTCCAGAAGAAGTCGATAAAAGTCCCTTTCTTTCAAAAAAAAAGTCATTAGGGGGTCTGAAAAGTCATTGAATCTAACAACAAAGTCGCTAGGTTTGCAACTACGTGTCCCAGACTGCATCCCTGCTGAGAGTCCCTCCCTCCCTTCTCAAGTTGCAGGAAGAACACGAGCGCCCGTCCCGTGTCAATCAGTCACCATATAATTTTGGATTGGTTGTTGTGGTGAAGTTTTCCACCAATAGGAGAGATGTTGTGGTGTGTTTTTTTCTTTTCTTTTGGCAAGTCTTTTCCGCCTGTAAGAGCTGTCGCTAATGTCTGCATGCTATGTTTTCCTGTCTCATACAGCGCGATCGAGCGCCGAACGTGATCAAAATAAGCAGAAAAAAAGTATCGCGGACATAATTTATCATAACTCTGGTTTTATTTGGCCTATCAACACAATTTAAAAACTGGTATATAGTTTGAGGTCCTCACTTTTAAGATAGGAGAATCAACGAGGCTCCGTCTTGCAGCTACATCCGGTTAAATATGTCATGTGACTTGAACGCTGGGGAACGGCAATCGACTGCAGAGCCAGCAGACAAAGTAGTTATGGCCACTGAGAGGCACACATTTGTCATATGCTATAATCCTAACATATTTAAATGCTTTTTCTATTTAAACCTAATGGATCTAAGCTTTTACCTTCAAAATTTAGGAAGAATATGTTTTTGCAGTAACGACCCCCTTAAACAACCAGAGGTCCTTTCCTAAAGTTTATGGAAATTTTAGTGAAGGCCTTGGTTTCTTTCCTTGCAAAATGTATAGAAATAATAAAGCTAAATACCATAAAATGGTCTTGGCGTATTAGCAGTGATATAAAATAGTGGTTTGAATATGAATAAACAACAAAAAAAGATCAACAGAGCCTTTTTGAGTTGGGATTCTTTCATTATCACACAAAAACAGACATAGACAGACATCTAAAGGGTAAGGGAATGATCAGCCCTCCTAACTCTCAGATGAATCTTCAAAATTCACCTCAGAAATATGCTTATTATTCTTCTCAGAGTACTGCAGGACACACACACACACACACACACACACACACACACACACACACACACACACACACACACACACACACACACACACACTCAGAGTCTTTTTTTAGCACCTGCAAAAACATGTTATTAACATATTTGACAAGAATGCAGAGGCTCCTTTTGCCCCTGAAAAAAATCAGATTTCAAACACAACTTGACTGGTCATTTCTCCAAAAGACAACCATGAAGCTCCATCCAAACCTGAAGCAGGCAGTTGGTGCATGTGTACAGTAACCTGAGGGGAGTGAGGTGACTGCTTCTGAGGAGAACATGAGCAGTGAAGATTCACCTTGGAGCTACAACAGGGACGTGCACATGATAATACAGGGGCAGGGGCTCAAGTTTTTTCCAGTCATTTATACAATATGGAAATTAATGTGGAATTAAAAACAAAGTATTAATAGAAAGGTAATGACTGTCCTGTGTAGGTGACAGTGATATCCAATAGGCTAGGCACTCACGAGGCTGGCTGTTGCAAGTGTTAGTGAAAGCAACACGCACTGGCAGGAAGAACAGCAAACACCGATGAAGGAAAAGGGTCTTTGCAGTGATGGGCGTTACCAGAGAGGGCGATGGCCAGAGGACCCGAATGGGACGGGGAGGCAGCGCGTTGGGGGGGGGGGGGGGGGGGGCGCGACACAGCTCGGGCCCGCCAGTGCCCCAACGGGGCCCTAGTTAGGGCCCGAGCGTAGCTGCTAAGCAGCTGCGAGAGCCCTCTTGTTCCTGATGGATTCTTCTTTCGTTATTTTTCCTCCGCTTTAAACTGGAAAATGGCCCACTTCCCACTGGCGAAAACTCAGGAAATTTGGCAGGACGACCGGGCCTGGTGAAAAATTTGATATTCTGAAGTCGTCCAAACAAAAAAATGAAAAATGGCTCCATAGCGCCCCCTATGGTGAAAACTCACCTGATGCCTGTACGCTTTGTCAAAATGACACAAAATTTGACACACATGTGTATCTCAATAAGATCTACGAAAAAGTCAGTGCGGGCGTATCTGCCAAATGTACGGTTAAAGGGCTATTTCGTTTTTTGCCGATCCGCACACATTGGAATTTCGCTAACTCCTCCGAAGGCTTTCGTTCCACCGGCACCAAATTTGCTCAGGCCAATCTACACCCCATGGCCATTAAAAGTTGTACAAATCATGATGCTGCACCCCACGGTTTACTTTCTAGGGGGCGCCAAAGATAACACAAAAATCCACATTCTTAAAAGTCTTATAACTTTTTATTTTTGTCCTCACTGGCCTCCAAGTTTTCTAGGATGATGCAATGTCCAGCCATCAACACATTTGTGAAGGAATTTTTACTCCCCCAAAGAGCGCCCCCCCATGGCAGGAGAAAAAAGTCCATTTTTTCTTGTCTCCTAAGGTAAAAATACACATTGTTGAGTGTCACGCCTATACACTTTGTCATATTGACACACAATTTGACAATCACGTGTATCTCAATAAGATCTACAAAAAAGTCAATAGGCACGTATCTGTCAAATGTATGGTTAAAGGGCTATTTCGCAGTTTTTGCAGATTCGCACACATTGGAATGTGGCTATCTCCTCCTAAGGCTTTCGTCCCACCGATACCAAATTTGCTCAGGGCAATCTACACCCCATGGCCATTCAAAGTTGTAAAAATCATGACGCTGCACCCCACGGTTTACGTTCTAGGGGGCGCCAAAGATGACCCAAAAATCCACATTCTTAAAAGTCATTTTGGCCACTGCAGGAGTACAGAGTACTGCAGTTCTAGGGGGCGCCAAAGATGACCCAAAAATCCACATTCTTAAAAGTCTTTTTGGCCACTGCAGGAGTACAGAGTACTGCCGGACACACACACATATACACACACGCCAACACACACACACACACACACACACACACTCAGAGTCTGTTTTTTAGCACCTGCAAAAACATGCTATTTACATATTTGACAAGAATGCAGAGGCTTCCTTTTGCCCCTGAAAAAAATCAAATTTCAAACACAACTTGACTGTTCATTTCTCCAAAAGACAACCATGAAGCTCCATCTAAACCTGAAGCAGATAGTTGGTGCATGTGTACAGTAACCTGAGGAGAGTGAGGTGACTACTTCTGAGGAGAACATGAGCAGTGAAGATTCACCTTGGAGCTAGAACAGGGACATGCACATGATTATACAGGGGCAGGGGCTCAAGTTTTTTCCAGTCATTTATACAATATGGAAATTAATGTGAAATTAAACCACAAATATGTGTGATGAACTGTTTTTAAAACTTAAACTTCAAATAAAAATTGTAAACTTCAAAACATATGCAAATTTTTAACAAAGAACATAGTAATTTACCTCTATTTACATCAAAATGCAGGCAATGGCCCAGGCGTTCTTTGTAAAATTATTTACAAAACACTGTATAGTCTCACAAATGTCACTTTTTATTTATGCCACTACAAAAAAACATGATGTAAATGATGCATGATGTAAAACATGATGTAAAAAACTTGTGTAGATCCTCCTCTATGTTAGTCCATGTGTAATTTTTCCATAATTCTTTGTTTTTTGCAGCATTTTTGTTAGTGTAACTGCAGATTGTGCTGACAGTGTCTATGGCAAAAAAAAAAAAAAAACTGAAAATGCCTCAACATGAACCCCTGGTGGTCTCTGAGGGTGAAACCTGCTAACTGCTGCAGCTCTGTCAGCTTCAGTCTCCCATGCAGAGCTCGGAGCGCATGTGTGGCTCTGCACCCTTAGCAGCGTTGCTAACTCCTCAGTAAGGAAAGCCTGCTTCATGTCAGAGTCTCTAAACTCCAGGAGAAGTCGATAAAAGTCACTTTCTTTCTAAAAAAAAAGTCGTTAGGGGGTCTGAAAAGTCATTGAATCTAACAACAAAGTCGCTAGGTTTGCAACTACGTGTCCCAGACTGCATCCCTGCTGAGAGTCCCTCCCTCCCTTCTCATATTGCAGGAAGAACATAAGCGCCCGCCCCTTGTCAATCAGTCACCATATAATTTTGGATTGGTTGTTGTGGTGAAGTTTTCCACCAATAGGAGAGATGTTGTGGTGTGTTTTTTTTTCCTTTGGCAAGCCTTTTCCGCCTGTAAGACCTGTCGCTAATGTCTGCATGCTATGTTTTCCTGTCTCATACAGCGCGATCGAGCGCCGAACATGATCAAAATAAGCAGAAAACAAGTATCGCGGACATAATTTATCATAACTCTGGTTTTATTTGGCCTATCAACACAATTTAAAAACTGGTATATAGGTTGAGGTCCTCACTTTTGAGATAAGTTGAAACGGAGTCAACGAGGCTCCGTCTTGCAGCTACATCCGGTTAAATATGTCATGTGACTTGAACGCACACACAGACACACACACACGCACACACACACACACACACACACACACACACTCAGAGTCTGGTTTTTAGCACCTGCAAAAACATGCTATTTACATATTTGACAAGAATGCAGAGGCTCCTTTTGCCCCTGAAAAAAATCAAATTTCAAACACAACTTGACTGGTCATTTCTCCAAAAGACAACCATGAAGCTCCATCCAAACCTGAAGCAGGCAGTTGGTGCATGTGTACAGTAACCTGAGGGGAGTGAGGTGACTGCTTCTGAGGAGAACATGAGCAGTGAAGATTCACCTTAGAGCTAGAACAGAGACGTGCACATGATTATACAGGGGCAGGGGCTCAAGTTTTTTCCAGTTGTTTATACAATATGGAAATTAATGTGAAATTAAAAAACAAAGTATTAATAGAAAGGTAATGACTGTCCTGAGTAGGTGACAGTGATATCCAATAGGCTAGGCACTCAAGAGGCTGGCTGTGGCAAGTGTAAGTGAAAGCAACACGCACTGGCAGGAAGAACAGCAAACGCCGATGAAGGAAAAGGGTCTTTGCAGTGATGGGCGTTACCAGAGAGGACGATGGCCAGAGGACACAAATGGGACGGGGAGGCAGCGCGTTGGGGGGGGGCGCGACACAGCTCGGGCCCGCCAGTGCCCCAACGGGGTCCTAGTTAGGGCCCGAGCGTAGCTGCTAAGCAGCTGCGAGAGCCCTCTTGTTCCTGATGGATTCTTCTTTCGTTATTTTTCCTCCGCTTTAAACTGGAAAATGGCCCACTTCCCACTGGCGAAAACTCAGGAAATTTGGCAGGACGACCGGGCCTGGTGAAAAATTTGATATTCTGAAGTCGTCCAAACAAAAAAATGAAAAATGGCTCCATAGCGCCCCCTATGGTGAAAACTCACCTGATGCCTGTACGCTTTGTCAAAATGACACAAAATTTGACACACATGTGTATCTCAATAAGATCTACGAAAAAGTCAGTGCGGGCGTATCTGCCAAATGTACGGTTAAAGGGCTATTTCGCTTTTTTTGCCGATCCGCACACATTGGAATTTCGCTAACTCCTCCGAAGGCTTTCGTTCCACCGGCACCAAATTTGCTCAGGCCAATCTACACCCCATGGCCATTAAAAGTTGTACAAATCATGATGCTGCACCCCACGGTTTACTTTCTAGGGGGCGCCAAAGATAACACAAAAATCCACATTCTTAAAAGTCTTATAACTTTTTATTTTTGTCCTCACTGGCCTCCAAGTTTTCTAGGATGATGCAATGTCCAGCCATCAACACATTTGTGAAGGAATTTTTACTCCCCAAAAGAGCGCCCCCCCATGGCAGGAGAAAAAAGTCCATTTTTTCTTGTCTCCTAAGGTAAAAATACACATTGTTGAGTGTCACGCCCATACACTTTGTCATATTGACACACAATTTGACAATCACGTGTATCTCAATAAGATCTACAAAAAAGTCAATAGGCACGTATCTGTCAAATGTATGGTTAAAGGGCTATTTCGCATTTTTTGCCGATTCGCACACATTGGAATGTGGCTATCTCCTC